CCCTACTTGCCCAAATCTCTATGTCCCAATTTCCTCTAACTAGTAACTAGTACCCCTCTTTTATTTTATTATTATTATTATTATTATTTTTATTTTTCAGTTTCTTATAGAGCGAGTTTTTAGTTTTTAAGGTTCTTAGCTGGATCCGAAGACCCTTAAAAAAACCATGCCTTGCTTCCGACATTAACGGTCACTTTCTTCTCACTGTGAGCATTGGAATTTGGCCCTTCCTATATAAAAAGTTTTTACATATATATTTTTGCCTTTTTCTTTTTATTGTTCTTACGTTTGTTGAATTTCCGTGATCAGGAGGAGCTCTGATCCGTACTCTGGTGGGATTTTCGGTGAAGAATCGCAGATGTTGACGTGCATAGCGTGCTCGAAGCAGCTCAACAATGGATCTATGCACCGCCAAGACGAAGAAGATCCGGTGTCCGCCGCCGCCACTCCCAGAACAAAGCAAGCCATCAAGACTCTCACTTCTCAGGTTTTCTGTTTGCTTCCCGAGAAAATTTTGGATTTTCAAACTCTACTTTTGAAAATATGCCTAGGATCCTGTCAATGTCACCCAATAATAATTCAGGAAAAAAAGGAAAAATTTATCGAGAATCTATTTTGTCTTTATTTCTTTCCATCATTTTTCTGGGGGCCCAAGTTGCCGGGGATTCCGGATTCTTCCCTTGTGTACTAAATATTCGTAAACAACAAACAAGAAAAAGAATTACAATTTTTGTGATATTGAATTTTCCTTTTTGTTTTTCTTAGATTAAAGACATAGCATTGAAGGCTTCAGGAGCGTATAAGAATTGCAAGCCTTGTTCGGGATCCTCGCATGGAAACAGGAAGCAAAACTGCGCCGACTCCGATGCCGCATCGGAGTCGGCCAGGTTTCAATGCGGGTACCGGAGAGCGGGAAGCTCGAATTCGACGCCGAGGTTGTGGGGGAAAGAGATGGAGTCGAGATTGAAAGGGCTTTCGAGCGGGGAAGGGACGCCGGCGTCGGTGAGCGGCCGAACCGAATCGATTGTCTTTATGGAGGAAGATGAGCCCAAGGAATGGGTTGCTCAGGTGGAGCCTGGTGTGCTCATAACTTTTGTTTCATTGCCTCAGGGAGGGAATGATCTCAAGCGGATTCGATTCAGGTACTCAACTTTCGGTTTGGTTCTTGTCTAATTGTGAGCTAGGAAGTGAATATGGATGTTTTCATCGAAATTTCCGCTTGGTTTTGATCTAATTTTGAGCAATGCTGGAGTAAATAGTGAAAATCTACTCGAATTCTCTGGGATACTATTGATGAATAGTTTTTGATATAGATAACAAGGGAATTTTGTTTCTATTACCCGTATGGTTTATGTTTTAGTGACATTGAGATCAATTTTGATGTTTTTCCAAAACATCTTCACAAATTCAAAGCCTCAGCATTTCCGTGGCCGACATTTTGTTATTTCATTGTGAGAGAGTCCTTTCTGTTTGTCTGTTATCACATGCTTATGATTTGGTAGAGGTTGTTTTGGTTTGGACTTTGGACCAATTGGCATTGTCTTTCATGCATGCTTTTTTGACTTTTCCTGTTCTCCATGATGTTGAAATTGAAAACTTTGATGCATTTCCAGTGTTGCAATGTGTTTCGGTTGTGATGGTAATTGATGTTGAAACGCCAGGACACTGTCCTTTTGTCTTTGCGTTTTTACACTATAAAGACACTGGCAGTGAAATTGCACGTGAATAAGCTATATTTTGTATCCTTCTTGCCTGTGGCCCTTGTGTGGGTCTACAATACAGTAGTAGCTTTACATATTTTCAGCTTTTGTTAGTTGTTACATTTCCAATAAAGGATGTTACTTGTCATGGAGGGGCTAAAATGGTGCTAAATACCATTTCTTAGCTTCCACGTCTACGACTGGACTGTTAAATAGTAACCCCCACCATCAAAAAGAACAAAAAGAAAAGTTTCCAAGTAGGGTACTTTTTGTATCCTTTGCTTAATTTGATAGTTATTAGCGAATGATGCTTCAAGGTTTTATGCTGCTTGGGTTTTTGATTCTGCGAATCCTGCTGAAGGCAAGGCAGTAAAATGTAAACTGAGATTGATCAATGCTTGATCTTATATCAAATAATAGACGTATATTTGTTGCACATTACTTGGCTAATACCTGACCTACCTTGCTTTAGGCCTTTGTGGAATTTTCATGCACCCTTTACAACACTAGGCAAAAGCAAAAATTCAAATTACTATTTATCAAAGGAGAATGTCCGTTGTGTGGTATTATTTTATACTTGCTTCCATAGTAAAGCTGCTATTTCTGAGGAACAAAAAGCGTGAATAGCGTATGCTAGACTCTTTGGGCCCTGTTCCTTGGGGCCGCGATTCTGGATTTCCACTGATTGGTTAAAACAACAGTTTCAATTGACAAATAAAATAAACAGTGTTCCACTTGTCTCGCATGGAGCTGAATTATTGAATGGTTGTAAACTCAGTGATATGATTGTCATATAATATTCAGCTCCTTCGCAACTCACCCAGCAAAACAGAGCAAAATGAAAATAAAGAACAGCTTTTCTTGTTGTGGTTAGTCAGTTCAACTGTTCAAGAAGATAAATATATACTTGGGCGTTTTTCTAAACAATTTTCATTTGGATTGGTAAGATTTCTGATGTCATCTTCTAATTTGGTCAGCCGCGAATTGTTTAATAAATGGCAAGCACAAAGATGGTGGGCAGAAAACTATGACAAGGTCATGGAATTGTACAACGTTCAGATGTTCAATCACCAAGCAGTCCCACTTCCAACCCCACCTAGATCTGAAGAAGAGGTAAAACCACATCCTGTTTGCCGTGCAAAGTTGTTGTACGGCAACCTAAATCAATTGTTGCATAATGCTTTCTTATTATAATATGTGGACTATTTCAACTGCGTTGTCTCTCAACTATTGTCTTAAGAAGTTCATTTCAATCATGTGTCGGAGTTGGACATGGGATTAAGGAATTTATTATTACCAAGAGATAACCTCTTATAGACCTTATTTATTTACAACGAATTATTGTAATCTTGTAGATACTACAATTAAAATCTGTGGAAAATTTGTTTTCTGATAACATAAAAAATGGTCATGGTCCGCTTTGTAGATGGACAAGTGCCTCAAGATTTGCGGGGCTCAAATGGAATCAGTCTTTTTTTTTTCCCCCCCTTTTCTTTTCCAGTGAAAATATCCATTCCATTCTATATTATTTGATGTTTAACTTTAAAGTGTTTTCCCTTGTCCTTCAGAGCCCCAAGATTGAATCCGCTAGGGACAGCCCTGCAACTCCCCCTCTGGGCAAAGAGCGCCTACCCCGCAACTGCCGTCCAATGGGAATGAACTACTCTTCATCAGATTCACTTGACCCAACGCAATCACGTCTTTACAACGAGTCAGCAGCACTGGCTTCTACACCTAAACTTTCCAGCATTAGTGGGACAAAGACTGAGACATCTTCAGTTGATGGCTCCGCGAGGACAAGTTCATCTAGAGAGGCAGATCGCTCAGGAGAGCTTTCGGTCAGCAATGCCAGTGACATGGAAACTGAGTGGGCTGAACAGGACGAACCAGGGGTCTACATCACTATTAGAGCATTGCCGGGTGGAACTCGGGAACTTAGACGCGTGAGGTTCAGGTTAGCAGGTTTCCACAAAATTGAGAGTAATGAGATTTTGAATTAATTTCCCTTATTTTCAATTCCACTAGCACTCTTCATTTCAACAAAGTTAAAATTGAAAACGTGTAAGTTTCACAATTGGTAGTTTTGTCTCTGTGAGTGAAGTGGTTAAACTGAAACACCAATCTGCAAACCATGAGATTATATCTTATACAGCAGTTCATTCATATGAGACGGGCCTATTTTGGGCAATCATAACCAATTTTGTCTAGTTTAAAGGGGGTAATACGCAATGCATTGACTTTATTATTATATTTCTGAAACAAATTTATTTTTTCATTAATGCGATGGATTTTTACTTCGCTCTATAAATTATTATGCAGCCGAGAAAAGTTTAGCGAAATGCACGCAAGGTTGTGGTGGGAAGAGAATAAAGCAAGGATACAAGAGCAGTACTTGTGACTTATGGCATATCTTTGGGATGGATGTGCATGAAAAACTTTTAGGAGTACATGTGCCGTACCGTTGTACAACCTCATGAAGAAAGCATCATATGTCAACTGGGATCCTGTTACTTACATTGGTTGGATACATCATATATCATTGTGAATTGTGGATTTTTTTTTACTTTTTTTTTTTTTTCTTTCCTGGGTTGATTAGCTGCTCAAGTCTTAGTGGGATTGGGAAAATGAAAGATGGTGGGAAATATCAACTTTGTGACAGAAATTTATTCCTAGTGGTAGCATTACATAAACTTCTCATCTGATTCATATTATTTATCAGTTTTTAGTTTTATTTTTTTTTCTTTTAAAAATTTATCGTATGCTGAAACTGACCAATTGCCCAAGGTGTTTCATGTTATCTGCAATGCCATTTTCTGCACTTGCGCTTAAATTGAAGAATCATTTTCTTTCGTCTAGTGGTGCCTGCTCAAATGCCTTACATTTGATGGGAAGTAAAAAAAAACCAATTCTTCAAAAAATGAAATAAAATAAGATTAAATAAAATCAAACTGCAGCTAACGGAATAATTTCCTAAATACCCCTAAATTATGCTCGAATTCTTAAAAGGATTCATTTCACCTCTTAAACCATGTAAAGTTGTTTAAAACACCCCCTTAATTAATGTAATCTTATAAATACCCTGTAAACTATTGAGTTTGTTTCAAACTTTCAATATAATCTCGAACTTTTGAAAAATAGGGGTAAGTTGACACAAACTTAATATTGCGGATTCATTTATAAAACTATAAGTAGTAACATGTCATCATTTTGTTAGTATTATAAATAGGAGGCTATTTTGAACTAAGGTACCTAGTTTAGGGTAGGGCTGTTCATGAGTTGGGTTGGTACGAGTTTTAACTTTTTCTTCTCCCACCTTAAAGGGTGCGAGTTGCACATATTTGGCCCTAACGATGTTAAAAAAATTTCACAACCCAATAATATTTGGGTTGGGTTGGGGCGGTGCGGGGTGAGTTTGGTGGTCGATTTCAAAATTCAAAGAATCAAAGACTTAACGTTTAATCCAACATTCAAAGTTCATCACCAAATAGAAATAATAACTCCAACATTCAAACAGATAAAAATTCAAAGTTCAATCAAATATCAAACATGAAGCAAAGTAGTACACCCAACAACAAACATGAAGCAAACATAAATTAGTGTACACTCATAAATTTGTCTTAACATAAAGCAAACATAAAAGCTTAATTCAAACATGAAGAAACTAGATAGTAGAAATGAGTTGCTTGCCTAGGATTAGATATTAGAGGAGGCAAGTTAGAGCGCAGGTTGGGTTAGAGTGTGCGGGCCATTATAGGCCCAACCCACACCCCGTCCCAAAATTTCAGGCCAGACATTGAATGGGCCGAAAAAAAAATTAATACTAGAAATTGCATTTTTCGAGTTGGGTTAGGGTGGGGTGGGTTAGGCCTGCGGGTTTTGCGGGTTTATAAACAACCTTGGTTTAGGGGCTAAATGGATTGTTTTAAACACTTGGGGGCATGTTGTTTTCTCAAGAAAAACATGAAAAATTTACATTTGAGAGTGCATGAATTTAGACATTTACTCATTATTCTTGATAAATACCCTATTGTTAGTGTAATTATTTGACTAAAAAAGTTATGAATTAAGAGTAAAGGGTAAAAATCTTGACCCATGCAATTTCAAGGGGTATTTATCAAGATTATTCTTTCCTCAATGACGATTCGCTTGAAGTAACCTAATAGCGTATCATTGGCAATCTACTAGATTATTTAACCTTCCGGTTAGTATAGAAAGGCAATATGACTAGTAATTTGGTAGATTATCAATGATAACCTACCAGATTATTTATTGGTATCTACATAAAAACATCATATTAAAACAAATAAAAAAACTAGAAATAAAATTTGAAGATAATTGCAAAAATACAAAAGCATAATGTTATAACATGTAACATATAACATAAAAATTTATGCTCTTTCTTAAATTAGATTTGTATTCTTACATTTTTCTTTCAATTATTTATTTAAATGAACATTTTTTGGCAAACCAACTTACCGGTAGGCTCAGTTTCTAACAATTATATATGATCAAAATTACATAGAACTATTGATAGTTCATTTTTTGGGATAGAGCGGCTTACGGATAGAGCCAGTTTCAGATATGAGGTTGGAAAGTAATTCTTTTTTTTTTTGTCTTACTAAAGAAACTCTCTAATTTAAAAGGACAGAATTGTAAAAAAATGTTGCAAAAGTGAAGAGGCGAGTTAGGACTTAGGAATGACAAACTTCTTTAATTTCTTCACATAAATCACAACTAAGATCTTGTTCATTTCACCGATTCGAGTTTAGAATTCGCGTTTTGTTACAGTAAAAAGCTCTCAGAAACAGTCACATCTAACTTTTTTGCTACAGTAAAAAGCTCTCACATAAAGTCACATCTCAACTCGAATTAAAAACTCGAATCAGCGAATTGAACGGTAAGAATCAATAACAGAATAATATTTTTTTAAAACTGTAATAATATTTTTTGACTAAACGGTAATGAGACATATATTTTTAACATCAAAAAACTCTTCAAAAATAAAAAAAATATAATATATATAAATATATTTGAAAATGCGGTGATGAGATATTTTGATGAATGATTTAACTTTTAGTGGGTGGTTTTTTCCTTTTTGAGGAAGAAGATAGCGGGTGTTTTTGTAACCTTCGCACATGGGCTAATCTAATTACTAATCACTCATCAGGAAATTAGGGTTTGTTCGTTTGTATCTAAATTCAAAAAAAAGTTTAAACTCAAATTATAATTTTATTTAAGTTCATGTTCTTTTGTAAAATTTAGGCCCGTTTAGTTCGCTGATTCGAGTTTTTAATTCGAGTTGAGATGTGACTTTATATGAGAGATTTTTGCTATAGTAAAAAAGTTAGATGTGACTGTTTCTGAGAGCTTTTTACTGTAACAAAAGTTGTATTCTAAACTCAAATTGGTGAAATGAACAGAGAGTTTGAAGTTAAAATCTAACACTCTGTTTGGTAAGATTGAAAGAAAATAGAAGGGAAAGGAAAACTATAATGCATAAAAAATTAGAAGGATATAAAAGATTTTTTTCTCGTTTATTTCATCGATTCGAGTTTTCAATTATGGGTTTTTACAGTAGAAAGCTCTCAAAAAATGTCACATCTAACTTTTTCTGCTACAGTGAAAAGTTCTCACAAAATGTCACATCTCAGCTTGAATTAAAAACTCGAATCCGCGAAGTGAACAAAGCCTTTTTGATTTTCCCTTGACTTGCTTAGTATGATAGGGAAGAAAGAAATGAATCTACTTTCCCTTGTTTGGTCTTGGAAGTGAAATTAAAGAGATGGAAAGATTATTATCGGTGTAATTATTTTTTTGCCCAAATATTTTTTATTAATATTATTTTATAATAAAAGTATAAATAATACAATATTCAACATCAAATTAACTCAAAAAATTCATGTAACTTAAATATATATTCCATCTATATTATGCATATACACACACATATGAAATTTTCCACAAAACAAAAACCTTTTATGTATACAATACACACATATTACTAATGCAATGCTCGTGATATTATGGCTTGATTAATATTGTAATTGTTGTGACGAAAAATGGTAGCTGATTTGTTTTCGAAAAAAAAGAAAAATATTTTGACATATTTGTCGTTATTATAATATATGCGCCAATCTGATTTCTCTCCTTTCTCTCTTTTAAAAAATTTGGCTGCAATTGATAAGACAATTATTGAAAAATGATTTATCATTTCCCAATATAAAATCCCAAAATCATATATCTGCTACGAATCAAAATTTTCTTTTGATGGCTTACTATGAATCAAGTTATTTATCCAAAAAAAAAGCACCAACTTTTGGAGCCATTGGATGAAAAATGAGGACAATTCAGTAATTTAACTTCATTTAGGTAGTTATCCACATTTTTCTTCCTAAAATCTTCCCACTTTTAGAGATATTAAATATGGTGGGACCCACCAATCACAATTTCCATTCAATTTTTTTTCCTTCCCAATTTCCTTTTTACCAAACAAGCTAACTTACTAATTTCCATTCGAAAATCTCTCCAACATTTTCTTTCCTTTCACTTTTCATTCATACCAAACACACTATAAAAGTTTAAATTTTCCTTTCAACTCAAGTTCTTAAATTCAAACTCAAGTTAATGAACAATATTTTTTCTATTCTTAAAAATGCTATAACTTTTTCGTTTTAATTTCGATAGAAATGATTTTTTTATGCGTTAACAACAAATAGACGAATAAAACCCCACCCATATACCATATTAAAATTTTTCATCACCATTGAGTTTTTATTAAAATACTATATAAATATAGACTCAAATTTTGACCAACCTAAACACAAACTCAAAAAGATTCTTATCTCAAACCATAATTCAAATGTACACAACTAAACACAAATTAAGTTACAACTTCAACTCAAATTATAACTCAAATTCAATTCAAGATTTACACTTAAGTAATCATAATTCAAAAATGCAACTCAACAAACTCTTATGCTCTAATCCACATCTCACATTTAATAATACTATTATTATTTTATTAAAATAATATGAATTAAACACATATTTTTTTGAATATATAAATTAACCATTATAATTACGAAACAAAAAGCAGATGTTACTTTCCCAATTTACCTACGACCCATTAATTTCCCGCAATTTAACCGAAGAGCAAGGAATAATATCGTACCAAAACCCGCCCATAGTTGTTGAGTTTTTTTTTTTTTTTTTTTTTTTTTTTTTTTTTTTTTTTTTTTTTTTTTTGGGGTACCAAAAAAGTCATTTTGGCCTGGACTTGGAAAATTTGCCTAGTAGTAACGTTTTTCAAAACCCTCGCTTCCTTCCTTACTAGTAGTTCCTACCTCCCCCCATTTTCTTCTCTAATGCGACCCAAAACCCTAGCCTTGTTTTCTCATCTCCGTTCTTCCCCTTCTTCCTTTGGGTTTTGATTTCTCTCTCTGCGCATATATATATATATATATATCTATATCTATATCTATATACATACTGTGGTTTGTGTTTCTTGCTTTCTTTTATCGGAAAACACAGAGAGCGATAGAGAGAGATAATGGTCTCTGCCTCCCGAATCGACGGCGGGCCTCAGATACTCTCGGCGGGGGTTCGTAAGACCATCCAATCCATCAAGGAAATAGTGGGCAATCACTCTGATATCGACATATATTTGGCGCTCAAGGAAACCAACATGGATCCTAACGAAACCGCCCAGAAATTGCTAAACCAAGGTCAGAACTTTAACCCTTTCATGGTGTATTAGTTTTTTCTGGGGTTTCCCGATTCGTTTGGATGGTTCTTACTCTTTTTCTGGACAATGGTTTTTCTTTGGTCCGCTTTTTCGCGGTTCTGAAGTTGTTGTTTTTGAATGTCGGGGCGTTATGCTCGAAGTTGCAATTTTTATTTTGAAGTAGTGTTGGTTCTTGAAATTGGAGGCTAGTATAAAATAATGCAGAAAATCCGTATTTTTTTTTTTAAATTGAATGAAAAATCCGTATTTTTTTGAAATTGAATGAAAAATTCGTATTGTTGGGCGTGTTATGGTTATCGATTGTGCTAATTCTGAGTTACATTACGGTGTTCTTATGTGGGTTGTTTTGAAACTTACTGCCCATGTCTATTGATGAATGGAAAAAAAGAAAGTATCTTTTCCCTCTTTTCTCCCTCAGTTTTCAGTGGTTTTAGCTAAATTGTGATTTTTTTTTGCTGGGTATTTTCCATTGGGTTTGGGTCGTTTTTCTTTGCTAGAGCTCTAATTATGTTATTTGCTCAGTTTTCTTGCTGCTTTTGGATACGTCGTCTTAGGGTTTGCCTTAATTTTAAAGAGCCTGGTTTTCCTCCTGCTTTAGTGATTGTCTCCGTAACTCTTCCACGCCCTGTTCCTCACATAATTTTCTCGACTTCTTAGGCAATACTGTAAATTATATTTCTTTTTAACCTTATTATGATGTGTGATTTTGTTACTGTTGACTTTCTCAGACCCCTTTCACGAGGTGAGGAGGAAAAGAGACAAGAAAAAGGAGGTATAATTTGATGTATTTGTTTATTTATTTACTTTTAACTGGTGTAATTTTTATTTGTTGTTGTGGCGCTCTGCTAATGCTTTTCTTAGCCATTGTAACATTAAGATTATGTATAAATTAGTTTGTAATTGCTTGGGTAATTTATTGCTCAGCGTTCACATTCTAATGCAAGAGATCTGAACTTTGTTTAGCATATCTCCAATGTCTTAATATAAATATTGGTCAATAGCTTTTGCAGACTGGATAAAATGGCCTTAAGGTGTAGATTAAGCTGTCAGTTTTGACTAAATCTTTATTGTTATGGACGGGGGCAATTTCATCATTGGTACACCTTACTGCTTCTCTATTTATGATTAGTACTTGATGGACGGGAGGCTGGGGAAAATTTATGCTACTTTTGTCTATTTAGATAATACGAATGAACAGAATTGAAATACTCACGGGAAAAGCTGGAATTTGTTTCCTTTCTCTTTTTCTTGGAAAGAAATTGGCTAAGAATGGTTGCCATCAAAGAGGAAAACTTTGTTAGAAACTCACTGTTTTTCTGTCTTCTGATTACTTTAAGTTCTTGCAAGTTAGTGGTGTTGAAGTATCGGAATTAATATGTTTGTAAAATTCTGTTTGGAAGAAGTTTGTTTCAGGAACCATATTTGCGTCTTACTGATGAATGTTTGTGGTTATGGTCTTAGAGTGCAGGGAATGATAGTTCTACAGATCCAAGGGGACATTCTGAGGTTAAAGGTCAAGGAAGTAAAGTAAATACATTTTCTGATCGTAATGCTCGTAGAGGAGGTTATGCTCGGAATTCCTTACCTGGTAATTCAGATAGGTTTGAACTTCAAGTTTGTTTCATTGTTAATGCTTGGAATCCTTAATTTTCCCACACTATCTATTTTCTTGCTCGATTTTTTTTTTTGAAACTACTTGCGTGATATGATTGGTAGCTATTACTCTGTACAATGTTCTTTTCAACTGTTTGACAGATAGAATCATGCTACATGCAGGAGTTAGCAGAGAGTTCCGTGTTGTAAGAGACAACAGAGTTAACAGGAGTTTGAATAGAGAAGCAAAGCCTGCTTCCGCATCACCTACACCACCATCAACCTTTGAGAACATTTCTGGGAAGGGGTACACCATTACATCTCTGCCAAGTCTTAGTTTTTCGCATTTGATAAGTACTAACTGACTTGTGTCAAATTTCAAAATATTTCTTTTGGATGCTAGTATCTAATGAAGCAACATATTTGTAGAAGAATTTCTTATTGCTCCATATTCCTAAGAAGTCCAGCCAAATAAACCCTAAATATCCACATCATTTGATGAAAATTTTGAGGAATCTATACTAGTGGCACTAAAGGATAGAAGAAAAAAAATCCATGGAAAATATTAAGTTTTCTAAATATTGTATGTACATGTGATGTCCAAGGAAAACAGACGAAAGTCTCAGGTATTTAGAGGAACCGTTTCTCGACTTGTGTGGCTTGTTGACATTGTGTTATAGAAATATGCCAAGTTTTATCTTTATTTATTTATTTTTATTTGCAGTAACGAGGACATATTATTGATTTATTTCAAACGTAATATAGTTCTTGACAAATTGCAACACGCTTCCTCTACTTTGTGTAGAGTACATCACTATTAATCCAATGTCAACATGCCATATAACCGGTTGGGAGAAATCAGGATCCCTAGTATTTTCCAAATGATGTTATATATTTAACTTGTTTGGTCTTGTAGATTGGTTATATCACTAAGATACTTCAAGATTGACCGTAGGAGAATGGCCATCAGAGAATAAATGATTCTATGAATTTTGCAAGAAGAAATGAAATGAGAGATAAATGTTTATATGCAGACCCTCCTTATTGACACATGAGATAATGCTAAGGATAGTTGCTTACCTAACTGTGGACCTCGAGGAAATTACGTTTCATTTGCTGGTTAAATGATGTTTCAATAAACAATCAACAAAGGCCACCTTATCACCAAGCCTTGAATATCTAAGTTCAATATATGCTATACTTTTAGGATTAAAATTCACCATGTATTTTGATTCCTTTCTTAATATTTATTTGTTCTGAAACCACCTAGAAGTGTTTGTTTGTTCATTTATTTATCTGTTTATTTTTTTTTCCTTCTGTCAGTTCAACTGGAAGTTCTAACAGTGAAAAGCCCACTGCTAGCAAGAATTCATCTCAAGGTTTGTATGGACCATCTGATTCCCATCTTAGAATTGCCCATGATATTGAATCCACTGGCTTAGTCAGAAAAGAAGTATCTGAGGAAAAGAGGGTTACATTTTCAAGTGTAGCTTCACGTGTACAAGCAGGGAAGGCAAACAATGCCAGATCACAGTCTGCAATGGTGGCATCAAGCAGTTCTGCTATTGGGGTGTATTCCTCTTCCACAGATCCTGTTCACGTGCCATCTCCTGATTCAAGGTCTTCTGGGTCCGTTGGTGCTATTAAGCGTGAAGTTGGGGTGGTGGGTGTTCGCCGTCAGTCTTCTGACAACTCCAAGTCATCTGTACCCAGTAGTTCTTTCTCTAATTCACTCTTGGGAGGGGAGGGTTCTGCAGAAACTTTACAATCTTTCTCTACCATCTCTAAAAATGATGAAGTCGGTCAAGCTTCTGAATCTATATTGCCCAGTGTGTCGGTTAGCAGATCGTTATTAAGTAGTCATTACAGCAACAGGCAGCAGCATCAACAACCAGTCGGTCATCAAAAAGGTAAATATCAAAATGTCAATATGAACGATCTCAAAGTTTATGTAAAGACTGGTCATCAGAGAGGTGTCTCTATTAGAAAAAATTATCTTGAAAATGAACTTGTCTGTGTAAGATATGATAGTAGGAACATAATGATTCAACACAAAGTAGAAGCTTAAATTATATGTTCTTGTTAAATGTGATTCATTTCTATGGAACATGTTTTCAGTATTTTCTGGTATATTAAGAAAGATCAAATGAGCGAGAAAAACTACCAAGTATCTTGAACTGTTTTTAGCTATTTCCTTCTTTGTGAAATTTTTGCAATTAGCTCATGTTTGGTTTTTATTAATGGCCCGTTTGTTTCACGAGTTTAAGTCAATGATTCTGAATATGAATTCAAATTTTGTGAGAGAACCCATTGGTGGGAACTTTTTTAATCCAAATTTTTTGTGAGAGAAATGTACTATAGCATAATTAGAGTCATGGGCTCAAACGCGTGAAACAAACGGGCCCTGAAACAAATGGGCCCTAAGTGACTTCCATTCATGAATGCTCAAATTTCTGGTAGAGTATGAACCATTGGTTTTCATGCAGCTTCGCAACCTAATAAGGAGTGGAAACCTAAATCAAGTCAAAAGCCAAGCCTTAATAACCCTGGAGTGATTGGAACACCTACAAAGTCTGTTTCACCTCCTGCTCACAACTCTGAGGTTTCTGAGTCTGAACCGGCTAAGGTACTAGAAAAGCTTTCAAGAGTAAACATACATGAAAATCAGAATGTCATCATTGCACAGCACATTAGAGTCCCCGAGACAGATCGTTGTCGGCTGACCTTTGGAAGCTTTGGAAAAGAATTTGAGTCTGATAGTGATCTGGTTAACGGATACCAAGCAGGAGCTATAGGAGAGTCAAATGGGGAAGCTGCCTCAAGGTTGGTATAATCGCTAATTCTTTGAAGTCTTGTCTTTTTGGTGAGATGTTATTTAAAAAAATGTATATAACTATTTTTGCAGTTTGTCTGCTCCAGAGTCATCCATTGGTGATGCTTCCGGCAGCAAGCAAGTAGATTTGACTGATGAACAAATCAGAAATTCTGGATCTGATTCTCCTACATCAGGTGGAACATCCGAGAATCAATTTCCAGATAAGAAAGAGTCCACAAGCCCTCAGAACTTAGATAACTATGCAGATATTGGATTGGTTCAAGGCAACAGTCCATCTTATGCTCCTGCAGATTCACAGCAACCAGAACATCCAGAACTACCAGGTTTCTCGGTGAGTAATGTTCAGAATTGTGCAAACTTTTGGTTGCTTGCTAATGACAAGTTTTCTTTCTTTCTTTTATTTATTTTATTTATTTATATTTATATTTATTTTATTTTTTTTAAACCTTAATTGTTTCCTTATGCTGATCAGATTTTAATTTGAAAATGCTAAAGTTTTCTTATCATGGCTACGATATAGTTTTTAATTATTACATTTTCTTGTGATTGGTATTTGGTCATTCTAAATCCTTGCTGGTTCTTGAGCAGGCTTATGATTCCCAGACTGGTTATGATTTTCCATATTTTAGACCTGCATCTGCAACGGATGAAGCTATGAGAGGACAGGGCCTACCGACTCCTCAAGAGGTATGTTTTTGGTTAAACCAGTGCCATAGGCATGTTGGCATGCTAAAATCACAGCTCTACCCATTTCTGTGTCTATACCATTAGATAGGATCGTGTTTCATCTCTCTCTTTTAACGTATGTGTGGAGCTGTTTGTAAATAGCTTTTGGGAGTTTCTCTACACCGTGTCCTCTTTTTTTTTCTTTTGTAGTGCATATGCTGATACAAAATTAGTGATTTTCTGCCGCTCTCCGTATGGCTCTATAAAGAAAAATGCATCTGAAATGAATTATACATTTTGCTTGTTTACTTCCTCTAGACTTTGAGGGAATGAATTTCTTTCAGTTGCTTTTGTTTATGAAATCTGTAGGTCATGGTTTTGCCTTGTTATACTCTTTACTGCATAAATGCTACCTGAGATAATGCAAGCATATTATATCTGTATATCCATGCGTATACGTGTAAAGCACATACGACACTGGGGATCTGGCAAGTGGCTCCTTTTTACATGACAATTAGAGATCATGGTTTTGTTTTTACTTTGTTCCTTCATAACATGCTTGTTTAGAAGAGACTGAACTATTTTACTGGTTTTGATTGTAGGCCTTCAGTTCGCATAATACTAACAGCGTCCCTACAACAATTTCTATGGTACAACAGCAACAACAACCTCCTGTGGCACAGATGTATCCCCAAGTTCATGTTTCCCATTTTGCGAATCTCATGCCGTATCGCCAGTTCTTGTCTCCAGTTTATGTTCCACCAATGGCCATGCCAGGCTACTCCAGTAGCCCTGCATATCCTCACCCATCCAATGGCAACAGTTATCTGCTGATGCCTGGAGGCGGCACTCATCTAAATGCCAACAGCCTCAAGTATGGAGTTCAGCAGTTTAAACCTGTCCCTGCTGGAAACCCAACAGGGTTTGGAAATTTTTCTAATCCAAATGGCTATGCTATCAATACTCCTGGTGTGGTTGGGGGAGCCACTGGTCTTGAAGATTCATCACGGATCAAATACAAGGATGGCAATCTTTATGTTCCCAATCCACAGGTGTGTAAAGAACTGGTGATAAAAAGGATCTATCTTATTCATTTCGATGTGTCATTGGCCCAAGTTAATTAAAGTAGGTCTGACTTGAGTTAAAATCATGAAGGGCCTGTTGTTTCGTATACTTAAACTCAAATTATTGATTCCGCTACAGTGTTTTTCTCTCACAAAAAATTTGAATTTCAAATGTCAGAATCAAGAATCATGATTTGAGTATACTTTCCAAACATGCCCTAAAAGACGGTTCCAATATTCATAAACATCCCAGTGCGCTATTAGAAGTATCATTGATGAAAGCAAGTTAGTAAAAGATGTACAACTAAAGAAAACAACATGTGCAGAATGTAGATCGTTTTTTGCCGACTTTTGTATCTTCTTAGCATGTCAGCCAAATGATATACGTTCTTCATTATCGGTTCATCCTAACTAATGTTTAGACTTCTCGTCTTGTCCAATGGATAATGAAGTTGTGGATGTGACAAGAATTGTATAATATCTTGGAATTGTTGGTATGCATTTTTAGTTGGAAGTCATTAACGTGTTTCATTTTTCTTGGGACGATAGGCTGAGACATCTGAGATGTGGATTCAGAACCCAAGGGAGCTTCCGGGCTTGCAATCAACTCCATACTACAACATGCCTGGACAATCTCCTCATGCTGCTTATTTGCCATCTCATACTGGTCATGCTTCGTACAATGCAGCTGCAGCACAGTCTTCCCACATGCAATTCCCGGGTTTGTACCATCCTCCTCAGCCTGCTGCAATTGCCAATCCACATCATTTAGGCCCTGCAATGGGCGGTAATGTAGGCGTTGGCGTTGCTGCCGCGGCTCCTGGGGCACAGGTTGGTGCATATCAACAACCTCAATTGGGTCATCTCAATTGGACAACAAACTTCTGAAAAAAAAGGTGAATCTAACCCCTGGGTCGTAAGGGATTGTGGAGTAGCTATAAAGAAGGTTTCTCATCTTTGAAATGAATAACTCATAATTTTCTAATTAAAATGCATTATCTGCTGTTTAGTTTTCAATATTCTTGATTTGCTTCATACGCATGTCCCCTCTTAATTTACATTTCACGAACGAAAAACTAAAAAAGAAAAAAAAAATTAAAGAGCTCTCTTTTATTTTTCAATATGGCAGGATCCTAATTCATGCTATTTATAATTTGGGCTCATACCAAAATCCGTTTTCGTTTTTAAAAAAATCATATAAATGGCTGCTTTTAACCACTTTTTTTGATAAATGGCTGAACTTTTTATTTTATTTTTATACAAATGGCCTAACTTTTTTATTTTATTTTAACAGAATGGTTGGTTTTTTTCAGTAGTTAATCAGGAATTGATCGATTCATTAATTATAATGCACTAATGATTTATTAATAATAACACATGATTGTAATTGATTAATTTTAATTGATTTCAGTTGATTATTAACTAATATTGATTAATAATGAAAAATCATTTACTTAATCAGTAGTAATTTTAAGTCATCAATGATTGATTGTTAATAAGTCAACTAGTGATTGACTGGTGAATTAATTGGTGATTGACCATTAAGTTAAATAATTAGTGATTGATCATTAAGTTAAATAATTGGTGATTAACCACTAAGTTAATATATAAAAAAAAGGCCATTGGTAATTTTACAAAACTTTGGTTTTCTTTAAAAATTTTTTAGAAGAAGGCTATTTGCCTCTTTATCCTAATCTGTTGTTCCTTGTATTTAAGCCATTGTTCTTTTGGCCCTTTTTTTTTTCTCTTGCAGTTTGTTTCTAATTATTTTTTTTCGCTGGAAGTTTCTAATTATAAAATTGAAAATAGATTTTTGAAAAATTGATCAACCTTGGAATTTTTTGAGAAAATTCAAACAGTATCCCCTCAATTTTGTCTAAATACAACTTTTACTCATAAGTTTTTTAAAATATAAAAAGTATTCACTCTGTTTTTAAAAACAGACAAATAGTATCCTTTCTTTAACTTTTCTGGTTTTTTATTTTTATTTTTATTTTTTTAAAATGGCCAAATTATCTTTACATATCCTAAATATTATTTAAATTTGTTATGGGTTATATCAGCTTCTAAACACCACTCTTAAATTTTCTTAAATTTTTTTCTCTGTTTTTTTTTTTGAAGTGGCTATCTTAAGAAATTTGCAGCATCGACTTGACAAATTTTCTTAAAGGATGCAAATTTTTTGTCACATAGTACTGGACAATCCTAACAAGTTGATTTATTACACACTATGAAATATACTTTCACCTCAAATTAGTAAATAAATTTGTCATATTTTGCCAAATAGAGTTAAAAAAAAAGAATTACATCTTTTTTCATAAAAGATTTCACTTTCTTATTAAAATGAATAAAAGAAAAAAAAAGTTCAAATTGGTGTGTAAATTTTCTAGGAGGTTTACTAAAAAAAAAAAAAAGTTATTGGCACAAATGGTTCTTAATTTATTTAGTAAGTGACAGTTTAGTTTTTTTTTTTTTTTTTTCGACAAATCGATCCCTAACCTTTTAAAACAGGTGTAATCTGGTCATTTTTGTCCAAAAGCTAACGACCTAATGCACATGACTACTCACATGACCCAGATTGTTAGGATATATGTATAAAAACACTTGTAAAAACCCAAATGAAAGTCATAAATTGAAGAACCTCATGGGTAATCCCTAGAACACCATCTTCATCTTCATCCTCTTCTTCTTCTCCTTTTTTTTCATCTTCTTCTATTGGCGATTTGTCCTGAAATTGCAAGAAGTTGGAAGCGAACCTAGAGATCTCACTGACCGCTCTGTTACTATTACTGAAGAGAAGTGTGAGGCCGCTCTTGAAGCTCCTGCCGATCTCTGCCAGATCGTTCTGAATTCCAATCAGAGCCTCCGATTCCGCCTCCAATCCCGGCGAATCATCGGCGGTGGCTGGTGGAGGAGCGAGAAAAGTTGCCACGCCACAGAGTTGGCGGCTGATGGTCTGCCCGATTGCCGACAAGTCCTCCTTCACGCCAGCAGGGCTGCTTGCCGGCGACGCTGGCGTGGACTGTTGTGGATCGTGAGATTGAAGCGATTTGAAGAGCCAAGACATTACGAGCTACAAGCGATTCGAGCTACAAGTATTTTTGCACATATCCCAACAATTTGGGTCATGTGGGTGGTCACGTGCATTGGGCCGTTAGCTTTTAGATGTATCTTGATGGAAATGACCATATTACATCTGTTTGAAAAGGTTGGGGGTCGATTTACCAAAAAAAAATTAGGGACCAAATTGTCACTTACTAAATATGTTGAGGACCATTTGTGTCAATAACTAAAAAAAAAAAAAAAAAAGAAGAAAATCTAAGAGAGGTGCTTAAAAAAAATTGGCATAGCCCAACACTGTTGGATAGTTTATGAAATATTTAAGGATAATTTAATCATTTTAAAAGAATTAAATCTAAAAAGTTAAAAGAATGGATACTTTTTGTATGAGTTAAAAAACACATGGGATATTATTGAATTTTAGAAAACTCAAAGATAAAAGTTGTATTTAGACAAAACTGAGGAAATACTTTTGGATTTTCTCAAATTTTCTCGAATTTTTCTGAAACGTTATCAACCCCTACGTTTTATTTTTTAATGCCGTTAAATATTCTTGAAGTTGTAGTTCACGTGAAGGAACTTGATTATGTGGTTACTTTCGTTGAACTTTAAAAATTTATTATTAATCTAACTCTATACCCCAAAATTATATATAAAAAAAAACATTAAGTGCAAGAACTGATCGATGAAAAGAGATAAATACAAAGGGATTGATGACTGAAAAACCTGTAATGGACTGACAAAGTATCAAGTATACTTGTTTTTGATAGAAACGACAAAGTATATATATATATATATATTTCTTTTTGCTGAATAAAACGACAAAGTATATTTGTTAACCATGAATCCGTTTCTCTGAATCTCTTGTTTGAGCAAAAAAAAAAAAAAAAAAAAAAAAAAAAAAAATTTTTTTTGAAAAAAAAAAAAAAAAAAAAAAAAAAAAAAGACAAACCATGAATCCGTTAAAAAAGAAAAGAAAGAAAGAAAAGAAAAAGAGGAGATTCTGGATGATGATGTACTGTATGTTCTCTTTTCTACACAGAGAGTCTATTAGAGACGAGACGAGCATCATTCATGAAAAAGAGTCTTGAAATTGCGTCATTCTTGTCTTTGTAGGTCTTATGACCGTATATCTTGGGATTGCCAACTCTTTTCTTTTTCTCTTTTTGAGATTTCACACACATTATTCATTCCCCTTAACGCAGCCCCAAACCCAAAACAAAACAAAGGCCAAGTCCCACTCCCACTTCAACTTGATGATTCCTCCTCTTTACTAATTACTCTTCCATGCTTCTTCCATTCCAAAAGCAATGATTAGTCACTACCTTCTATTTTCAGTTTGTTTTGTTTACAAGTTACCCAAGTCAACTTTGCTTTTTTAAATTTTCAGACTTATCTTTTTTAGGTAACAATAATCTAATTTACTTAACCAAACCAAACCTAACTAGTAAGTTAAGCCTAAAATCAAAAGTTTCTAGCTTGATAGTAATTGACAAGCGTAATGTTTTAGAAACCATTTAGTTACCGATTCGAATTTTTAATTTGAGTTGAGACGTGACTTTATATGAAATTTTTTTACTGTAACAAAAAAAATTAAATGTGATTGTTTCTGAGAACTTTTGACTGTAACAAAATTTAAATTTTAAACTCAAATCGGTGAAATGAATAGAGCCTTAGTATCTTTCAATTTTTGGTTGTTACTCCATTTGTAAATTGTTCTTCTCAATGAATGGAATGTTTTAGCATGTTAATGATGTTATAGTGCAGATATAACATTATATGTCATGAATGATCAAAAAAAAAAAAAAAACTTTAGATGCCATGAATGGTCCTCTTCCTATAAACAATCCTAGAGAGAGAGATTCTGATAAAAACTAACTGGGAAATTGATGAAGCAAAGGTTTTTTTTTTTTTTTTTGATGAAAATTGATGAAGCGAAGGTTGCACGTGCAAGGGTAGGGCCTGAGACGGAGTGTCAGTCATTCGTTGCAGGTGGTCCTTTCCCACGCATGCTCTGTTTTAATCTCTCTCTCTCAATGCCATTGAAGAGGAGAGAGGGGAAAAGGGGGAAAAAAAAAAGTTCCTCTTTCTTTTATGAGAATTTCTTCAGTAATCCGTTCAAACGGTAGTTTTTATTTTTATCTGTTGAATTTAATTAAATATATATATAAAATAAATAAATTTTAATATAAATTTAACAGTTAACAAATAAAAAATTAGTGATAGACTAGAGAAAGTTCTATCTTCTTTCTTTCTCTATTCTTTTTCATTTTTATTTTGGGCAAAAAAAAAAAAAAAAAAAAAAAACCAAAAAACTGG